GGGGTTCCTTCCCTCAGTTTCCAGACATGTTCCTCTGGGAAAATGTTGAAATTGCCTGGGTTGACTTGGGGAAGGAAGAAAATGGTCATACCACGCCCACTTAGCCACGGTGGCCAGACTGGCCAGAGAAGCAAACTGGTGGTGGGGCCCTCCAGCTGATGACTTTGGAGAAGCTGAAGGACCTGGGGATGGCAGAAAGGGCAACATGCAAGACAGGGCTTATGTGAGAAAGCCTAAATTCCCACATCCTTTCTGGCCAGGGCTTGGGCCTTCTGCTTTTTTTTCTCAGACTGAGAAGGCTTTTCAGACAGACGGGAAGGTAGAGACCATTAAAATTGAATCTTAATGCACAGGTAAGGAAACTGAAGCCCAGAGAAAGGAAGTAACTTGTACAAAGTCACATAGTAAGTGAGGGCAAGAGCAGAGGCTCCCTGCCTTGGATCTGGGTACATATTCGTGCATTCATTTGTGCCTCCATTCATGAGTCCACCGAGGGCCTGTTAGGTGATGTATAAAGACCTAGGTCAACAACAGACAGGCTCCCTGCCCAGACTGAGCTGGCTGGCATACAGGTCAGAGCAGTTCAGCACAAGAAGGGCTTACATAGGATGCTGTGATACGGAACATAGGTGATGGCACCATTTCTGGTCAGACCAATGGGGGAGGAGGTGACACCTGACAGGAGGCCTCAAGAGTAGAAGAAAAGCTGGTCAGGAAAGAGGAGGGAGGGCAGAGGAACATTAATGGCTGGAGACTTGCTCAGATGGTGGTTCTCTGTGTAGGCTGTTCAAGAGTGTTGCGCCAGGGACGCCTGGGTGGCTCGGTTGGTTAAGCGGCTGCCTTTGGCTCAGGTCATGATCCCAGGGTCCTGGGATCGAGTCCCACATCGGGCTCCTTGCTCAGCAGGGAGCCTGCTTCTCCCTCTGCCTGCCTCTCCCCCTGCTTGTGTTCTGTCTCTCTCTCTGACAAATAAATAAATAAAATCTTAAAAAAAAAAAAAAGTGTTGTGCCAGCCAACAGAGGAAAGGCCAGACTCACAGAAGAGTGTTCATGTAGAAGGAAGCAACATTAGTGATCCACACAACCTCATGAATGTGTGTTCTACCACAGAAAGCCTTATCAGTTCAGTAATTCCAGTTAATCTACCACGATAATATAATTATGTTTTACTTTTGTAAGGTATACAACAGTGATCTCCTATTTTGGTGTCAGTTTTTCAAAAAAGTTTTGATTATGGGCCAAAAAAAAAAAAAGTAGGAAAACATTTGGAGTATTTGAGGAACCAAGAAGTAAATAAGCCACAGAAAGTGAGGAGGAGAAGGGGACCAGGAGAGGTCCGAGAAGTGTGTGTGATCAAATCATGCAAGGCCTTGATCTCATGGTAAGGACTTTGGGTCTTATTCTAAGAGGTCTGTTCAATTTTTGCCTATGTGAGGTGCAGCAGAAAGCATGAGTGCTAAATCAGATGTGAAATTACCTCTAATGGGTCACAGAGATGGAGAGAATTGTGCACACAGGACGTTAGAGGTAACTGGATCATTCTAATGTTAGAATGTGGGCAGGAGAAGAGAACAGATAAAGGAATGGGTTGAGTTGAGGACAAAGAAGCTGCTGAAGTCAGGGAGGTAGGAGAGAGGGATGACAGGCAGCAAAGGTGTGACAGATGGTGAAATGTGAGCTGGTGGGAAATTTGATTCAGCACATATGTATTCAGCATCAAGCATCTCCTGAGTGTTAGACCACGTGCTGGGGCTTCTGGATGTTTATTCTTGTTTGATCTTCACAACCATACGAAATACAGTGTTTTTAAAAACCACCCTTTTATAGACGTAGAAACGAAGGGTCAGGACAGTGAAGAGATTTTCCCAAAAGTGTTCAGTGACTATGAGTCAAGCAAGGATGCCAGTCCAGGTCTCCTGGCTCCCGTGATGGTACTCTCCCCACTTGACCTCAGTTATTAAATTTGGACTTGGCTCTGCCATCGGAGCCCCCACTTGGACTGGAGGATTTCTCTCTCTGTCTCTTCCAATTCTAACATTCTCTGCTTCTCTTAGAGATACGGAGGTTGTAGAAGAATACTCTAGATTAGAAGGCACAGCCTCCACAAAGGCAGGATGACCGGGAAGTAATTGTAAGCAGAAGGACTATCTGTGAGAATGCTTCCCGTTCTTGGGAACGCCTTATGAATTTAAGTTAAAGAGAGGGACAGAGTTGTGCTAGTCATGAGTATAATGAAAGGAGTAAGTAAGTAAGAGATGGAGAAATGAACAGACCTTGATTCCATTCGATGGCTCAGGCCCTGAGAAAACAAGAATGAACAAGACTGACGTAGTTCCTGCCTCACTGAGGGAGAGATGAGGGGACAGATATCTGTCATTTGATTGACCTATGTGCGAAGCATATGCCAAGAATTGTGTATTACATGGTTTTCATCTATTCCCTTATCCTTTATCACAACCTCAGGAGGTATATGCTTTCATTATTCCCATTTAATGAATGAATTAACTGAGGCTCACAGAAGTCCTCACATGCTCAAGGTCACAGGAGTAGGTGAGAGAGCTGGGGCTTATACTTCAATCTTTTCTTTTAAATCGTTGCAAAATTGCAGGAGGGGGAGTGGTTGAGAGGGAGGGAGTGAAGGAAGGATGGAAGGCCAAGAGGCAGAGAGAAGAGTTCGATATAGAGAATGAGTCCACAAGCTAGGAGGACAAAGATGTTCTCTGAGACGGTGTGAGCACTTGGAGACCCTGCCTAGGCAGGAGGCGAATGAGGTCATTAAATCCATCTGCGCAGATGGGGACCCTCTGGGAAAAGTTATATGCAAATATCATGATGCAATGAGGTGCAATCTGAAATCCACTTGCGTTAGCTCAGGCTGGGGCTCAAGCAAGGACCGCACTGTGCTCTTTGGAAAGATCATCTGCTGAATGAAGACGTTTGCTCTTTCTCTCAGTTTCTAGAAAGGAAAGTCAGCTCACGGTCACAGAGCGTGTGAAGGGATGGACGGGGACCAAAATTCAGGCTTCTGCCCCACGGTTTTTTTCCTTAGAGAGAGTGCATGCGCTTGAGAGCGGGGAGAGGCAGAGGGAGAATATCAAACAGACCCATACCCAGCACAGAGCCCAGCTCGGGGCTGGATCCTGAGATCATGACCTGAGCAGGAATCAGGAGTCAACCGATTGAGCCACCCCGGCGCCCCTCCCCCACTTAAAAAACATTTGTTTAAAAATTTTTCCCAGCTTTCATAATATATGTGGATAACAAACCACGTTGTACACCTCTCACCCTTTCTTACTCAAAATCTGCCCCTGAGAGGCTTCAAACCAAACTTTATGCAAAATCTCTATGTGAAATGTCCCCCACCAAGAGTTCAGGCCCCCTGGAAAGTGGTCTGAGCTTGCTGGGACATGCTCTTGTTGTTTTCATCCTTGCCTCCCCCGATCAAAATTCCCAGCATATGTCTGTCTTAAAAGATACTTTCATATACTTTCTTTCACTTGACCCACCACAACGGCCCTATAAGTTAAGTATTCCATTGTGCCAGTCTTATCAACCAGCTCTGGTACAGTACATTACAATTTTCACCCATGATTTCCTTCAGCCATTAGTTCCCAGGGCAAGGTGGGGCTGATAGATACCAGTTCTACAGCTGGGAACCTGAGGCTCAGAAGTAGCTTGCCTATTTTAAATACCATGTCCCAGGGCGCCTGGGTGGCTCAGTCGTTAAGTGTCTGCCTTCGGCTCGGGTCATGGTCCCGGGGTCCTGGGATCGAGCCCCACATCGGGCTCCCTTCTCCGCGGGAAGCCTGCTTCTCCCTCTCCCACTCCCCCTGCTTGTGTTCCCTCTCTCACTGTCTCTCTCTGTCAAATAAATGAATGGAATCTTTAAAAATAAATAAATAAATAAATAAATAAATAAATAAATAAATAAATAAAAAATAAATAAATAAATAAATAAATAAATACCATGTCTGTCACCTGTTACTTTGGGCTAATGCCTGCCCCTTTCAGAGAGCCTCAGTTTCCCTGTCTGTAAAAGGGTGATTGTTCTAGTACCTATCTTACAGAGTAGCCTGACCCATCATAAATGCCCTCAAAAATGAAAGCTGCTATTCTAATGATTGTGATAAAAGTTATGACATGGCTAGCAAGAAGCAGAGGTAGGACTTGAACTTGAATCTGCTGCCGACCCCCACCGCCCAATCCAGTCATTGTCCTCCTGCTCAGCACTGTTTCTCTGAAAATTACTGCATCAGACCCAACCACCTGTCTCACCTCTTCTCTCTTTCTCTCTGCAGGTCACCCCCTTCCCTATGTCCTGTGACCTACAAGGTGACTGTGCTTGTCGGGACCCCCAGGCCCAAGAACACAGCCGGAAGGACCTCCGGGGATACAGCCATGGCTAAGGAAGGACAAGGAGTTGACAAAGAATTCCCAGCGCCAGGACTCGCATCCCTTTGGTATTGATTTCACAGTCAGCTGCTCAACGGAATGGCCTCCCCACACCAGGGATCCTTAGCACCCAACCGGTCTGCCTTTAATTTCACCCAGGAAGGACTCATAGTAGGGGCGCATGAGCCAAGTCTCACCACGCTGGATGATGGAATGGAATCCCATCCCAAAGTCTTAGATGGATTGCATAGACAAGTGTGCAGTCCCAGAGCCTAAAATTCTAATTTGTCACACAACCACAACAAGAAACATGTTCTACATTTAGGAGCGTGCACATATGTGGTTAGTACACATGCATGCATACACACCCAAACAAACATCTGCGTGAGGACAGTTTGGGAGGCTGAGCAGGGAGAAACTGGAACACACTCAGTCTTTCCTTTCCCAAGCTCCTAGCCAGTAGTGTCCTTGGGAGAAAGAGTTGCAGAAACTGCCAAGGCCAAGTGTTGAGATGTCAAGATAGCTTGCACTCTGAGGCTTGGAACATGTAGGGCATGCACAATCGTGCAGTCCTTTGGGATTAGAAGTGAACGGTCTCTGATCACCTACCTTCTAGGGAAGTAGAACCCAGGACGAGGTAAAGGATCCAGGGTATGCAAAGCCCCCAAATTCTTCTGCTGCCATGGGGGATTTTACCCCAACTCCAGGGTCTGAGGCTAAGCTGGAAATGGCATAGGGTTGTGGTGTCAAGGTATTATAACAGCCCCCTGCTTGAGGCCATAATATCCCTCCAGAACCCACCCATTCCCCAAACCTTGCCTTGGGACCACATTCGCTGCTACTTTTCCTGCTGCTCTATCCTATACATTGAGTACCCCCAAGATGGTAGGACTAGGTTAGGAAAAACCCCACACAACCAAACAGTCTGCCTTAAAAGTGACCCACGTTTTCCCACAGCTCCTCACTTCTTAGCCCTTCTGCAAGAGAAAATTCCTCGTTGGCCTACATGGTGAGAAATTAAATCCCCCATGGGTGGGCTTCTCATCCTGGAAGGGAGTAGAGGGACTGGAGATGCTGAAACCCTCACTGAGAGTCCAGAATGTCTGAGCCAGTGTTAGATTTTATAATCAAGTGGACCAGTGCTAAATGTCTGTGATGTTGGGGCCATCCAGAGACTGCTGGGATAGTGGGGACTCTTGAGTTATTATCCTTATCCAAGCTTTCCCGGCCCTCCGGGCTAGATCAGGCTTTGGTGCTGAGGACCTTGCTGTGGCCCTGAGCAGCTATAATTCTAGAACAGAGAATCATCTTGGGTATGATCCATCTAAACTATGTTCTCGAGGGCCATCAGAGGGAAGCCCAAGAGTTCACAGACTCAGTCCCCAACAACCCAACATGGTCATCATGTTTTCCACATTGTCTTCCAGCTACCAGGACTCCCATCCAGACCTGTGGTTGGTGAATTCTTCCCTCTTTCCCATGTTTAGCCTCCAAAACTTAAGAGGAAGGTAGTCCAATGCACGTGGAAGGCCCTACCTCATTGGGGTCCTCTTTGCCTGTGTTCCACCAGTTACTTGTCCACTCCTTTTGAATTAATATGGGAAGAAATTAACACAGAATGAGGTAGAGAGAATGGTCAAGCTGGACATAATTTCTGAGACCTGGAACTGAGACAGTGAGGCAATAGGAGGGTATCATATAAAGACTGCTATAAATCAAGTCATCTCAAATCCAGTGAAAACAACCAACAAAAACAAAGCCTAGCATAGGAATGGGAAACCCCAGGCATACGTGCTGACCCTCCTCATTCCTGCACCTGAGGCAAGCGCTATTCATCAGTCATAGTCCTTTTTCCCTATGGGGACCAAAAATAACTTCAGGAACCTTCTTACTACCTTACTCCCAACAGCAATTACCTGCTGACCAAGAACACTTGAGAAGCCAACATACCAAAGTGTTTTTTGCACAGGTGCCCACAAATTAGGATGCAGAGCTTAAATTTTCATGGCTCGTACCATATTCCAAACCCTGAGATTAGGTTTCAGAATGGAGAAGCTGCCACCACGGTTAAGGACAGGCTCAAGTCCTTTATGTGTCCTTCTTTTACACACTCATATCTCATTTCTATCCAGAGCATTTTCTATAGTTACCAGGGCCAGTCCTTAGCAAAATAATCATAAAAATGGAAGAACTGATCCCATTTTGTACTCCTTCCAGTACCTTAGAACCCTTGCCAACTAGTAAAGCCCTCTCTTGCCCTGAATTACCAACGTGTGTTAGCTGACAAGATACGAACTAAGAAGGGTAACCATGTGGGCCCTCCCAGTTGCTCTATCATACCAATCAGTAGTGCAAAAAGCCTTGGAGACCCAAAGACGCCATCACTGATAATGGGGTTGCAGGAACCACAGAAAAACCTCACCAGCTTCCCTTCAATTGACTCTCATCCTCTTTCTGCCTTCACCCTCACCCAGTCTGTGCCCACACTCTCCAGCTGAGCAAAGCTTCCTAGAGGCTGACTTCTATCTTCAGACTCCCAGACTGAGTTGAGCAAGGAGCCACCCAGTCTCCTCCTGACCGTCATTTAAACCTGTTACTCATAAATTCGTATTTGCCAAGGATATTAGGCAAGACAGGCTATATGACGGATGGCCAGCCTCATGCCCACATGGAAGGCCCTTCTCAAAACTTAGTGAAAGAGACTCCGTTCTATTCATGCAATGCACTGATTTCTGGCTTCGTTTTCTTTCTGGGAATAAACTCATTGTCTTATCCCTTCGATTATCTCCTGTTTAGGATCATGGAGTACTCACAAGGAGGCAGATGTGAAGCACTGTTGTCTATCAGCAGCTCAGGGGCCCTAAAGCAGTTGGGGGTTCTGGGTCTGAAGAAGTATTAGCCTGTTGGCAGCAAGAAAGAAAAGATGAGGAAGACGGTTCTCCAAACCCTGTTTTGGGGAGCCTTTCCAAGCCACAACCCTAACTGCATGCCCAGAGGACTTGTATTACCCCCATATTCTGTGCCAACCACCTCTGAAGGGAAGACAGTCCCTGGGAAGTCCATTTTGGTGGCTGAATTAGGGTGTTAAGAAAGGGAGCGATCGGTGGTCATAAATAGCAGGGCTTTGAAGATGGAGGGTATCGGCTGCTACTCCTGGCTTCAGCCTGTTGAGTTACTGCCTAGACAGTTCTCTTGGTCTTTTTTCCATCTTGGCCCCTGCTTAAATGCTATTTGTTGAAAATAATTCTTTGAGACAGATTTCAGCTACCTCCCTTCCAGGTTCAATTTAACTTGGTTGTAACTGTCAATTTGTTATAGGTCTTACCTGTGTTTTAAAAAGAAAAAGAAAGAAAGAAAGAAAAAGGAAGGAGAAAAGGAAGAAAGACAACCATAAATCCAAGTTAACAGTTTGAGGTTTTAGTGTTTTGTGTGTGTGTGTGTGTGTGTGTGTGTGTTTTCTGGAACTACTTCAAGTGGGAAAAGAAAAAGGAGAAAATGATGGTAACAAAGCTGTACAGATAGAGATTGATAGAAGACAAAGAGATGAAAAGGAAATAAAAATGCATGATTAAAACTAAGAATTAAAAAAAAAAAACAACAACACTATTTTTGTGCTTCCTAAAGGGAACTATTTATTCTACAGGCTGAGTAGGTAGACACAAGCATAAAAATTTCCCTAGCAGGAGACTTAAAGCAGGATTTTATAATGCTGTTATTTTCTGTACATTGTGATAGGGTCCAGGAAATAAGGCGTCTTCCCCCTTGATATGTAGTTGTTGTTGTTGGGGGAGCATTTTGTCTATATGTTTGGTGGCAATCGGTGTTAGTAGGGAGTGGGGAGGGCTTGAAATTGGTTTTACCTGATATTAAGGGGACATAGTGTGTTGTGCTTTTCACTTTATAAAATGTTTGTATTTACCAGTAGAGCACTGGGCTTTCTAAAGACTGCACTTAGAATCACACTGCACGGTCCACTTTCCTAAAAAGCTGCTACATGACCAGACAGGTAATTCCCCTGGTTTTTGAGAAACGACACAAAAACAAACCAAGCAAAACAGCAAACATAAAAACTAAGTAGCAAAGGAATAAAAGCCTGTTCTTTTAACTTATTCAAGTTTTGCCAAATTCCTACCAATTGATCTTTAAAAGAACTGTAATGATAGCCAGGAGTTATGTCTCTAGAGAAAGAACCTGGAATTCTTGACGCCAGACTGCCGTTGGCTAGTGATCTTGAACAAGTCAACAAAGAGCTTCTCCATTTGCCTCAGTTTCTCCAGCTGCAAAATGGGGATATTACTTACCTACCTCACAGTGGGATGGCAGGGGATGGTGAGGCCCTGAGGTTCTAAAGGGGCTGTGGCAATCTGTGAGAGACACAAAGTCCGTGGGTTACTTTTCAAGAATGCACGGGCCCAGTGGACATCTACACAAGACAGGGAGTGCTCATCAGATATTTCAAGGAATAAAGCTGGAGCTCCTGGATTTTATTATCCACCTTAAGAGAGAGGCTTGTATTTGGGAATATTTCACTCATAGGTAAACTGGATTTTTCTCCCCCTATTCTGGCCTTTACCAGTTCTAGAATTTTATTAAAAGCCAATTACATCTTCCAGTGAAAAAGTCAGTTTACTGTGTGGTCTATTCAAGACTTATGGGCCATTTCCAACTTCACAGAGGAAGGGAGTCACTAAAATCTCTTCTTCTCAGACTTAAAATTCCACATTAAGTGTTCCATTAAAACAAGATATGGCATTCTGAGTGCAAACAACTCGGGGCTTCTTAAACTAATACACCAGCAGTCAGTGAGGAGAATTTTGAACAATTCTTGAGTTGCTTTCTTGGGTCTCTATAATCAATAACCTGTCCGCAGATATCTATCTATATAAAGATATTATATATAAAAATAAATTTACATATATATGCACATGTATATATAGTTGTACATATATGTGTGTATATATATACTTAAATGTAATATTTACAAAATAAAACTGTGATCTCGTCTAGAGAAAATGTATTCATATTACAAACTGCTCTTCCATATTTATGTATCATATTATACCTTTTTATTATTGTTATAATTATTATGGGTATTTCTAATTATTATGATGTTGAAATCTGTTTGGCACCTTCTGGAAACAACCAAAAAATGACTCTCCATTGAAGTGCTTACAATCTGTTCTCATGAGAATTCTACTGGCCTACTACTATAAAAAAAAAAAAAGAAAAAAAAATCTAAACACCAAAAACAAAACACAATTCCAATCCTTTTTCTGTACCTCACGCGCATAAATTTGCTGCTCCTATTTTGGGTTTTATTTTTTTTCCTGTTTATGTGTTTTATGGATCTAAGTTAAGTCTTTCAGCAATATATAAAATTGTAAATAGTAAACTTTATTTATTAAGAATGTCATCTTTTTTAATTTATATTTACACAATTGTTCATCTAATTTATTTTTTCTATACAGTTTTAAATACTCAGCCATATTTTGCTGTTCGTGATATTTTTATCCTGTTCTTGTGGATTTGTTTTTCCATACTGTTTTCTCTGGTCTCAATTACAGGTTGGATCTCACAAAAAAAAAAAAAAAATGATGTCAAAGACAAATATTTTGCCACTGTTGATTACTATACCTTAAAATTCTATATTATGAAAATATATAATAGCTTGTATGCTTCAATATGTAGCGGTGTGGTTTCTGTCTGTTGGGGAAATCTAAAGGACTCTCCTGTGGACACACTCATATGCAAGGGAACCCCATGGCCTCAGATGAGAAGATCTATGGTAGCATGAGGTTGAATTTAATATACGCCCAATCTTCTACACAAATAACTCCTGAAAAACATCTATATTTTGCATATGCAAAAACTGAAAAATATTCTCTTTTTTTTGTTATTATCGTCATTTTTTTATTATGTTAAAAATATTTTTACATGTTAAAAAAAAGTTCAATTTTCAGGAAACTGAAACAAATATCAGTACCAGCTCTATCCGGCCTTTTGGATGCTATCTTCAACGATGTACTTCCAGCCTGTTCTTTATTTTCATTTTTTTCTTGATTATTGAACGCTTAGTCATCCAGTTCATCCAATGACCCTGCAGCTGAGGCTGAAGTTGTGCTGTTTTTGATCTGCCTACTGGGTCTCATTTTTCATCATATCACCACTTAGTAGCCATGTGATCTTTGGGAAGTTTATTCAATTGCTTTAAGATTTAGTTTTCCCATCTGTAAAATGGAAATCATAAAGGGACCCACCTCATGATGTTGTTGAAGGTGGAATTAAATGAGATAAATATGTAATGTTTTAGAACTGCAGCAGGCACAGAGTATATTAACTCTTGTTATGGTGATGATGAGACGGGTTGCTCAGGACAGCTATTCATAATACATGAATTTTTCTGAGATCTCCTTATTTTTTAAGAGAATAAAACCAAGAGATACCAAAGCATTCAAGCACTTGGCACCAGCATGGCCACGGAGTAAAGAGCTCACCAAACACTGAGCTCTTGGCTGGCAGCACCACCACAACACAGGTCAAAATATGTATTGATCTGCCGGTACTTCAACATTTTGAATCTGAACAAAAGGGCAGTTTGGGGACATCCAGGTGAATTATAGGAAAGGGTATAAGTAGGGAAGTCAAGAACTACCCATGGTAGGTTTTCTAGACTCTCTACAAACAGAATCCACTGAGAGACAGGAAGGGAGGCACCAAAGATAAAATCAAAGTTACTGCTAAATGCTGCCAGATAAATGGTTATTTCCAAAGAGAAATGGTGATTAAAGAGAACATTTTACTCAGTGCTTTTCAATTCACTGTGAAGACTGAAACATGATTTAAAGAATAGTTTCATGAAAAGAGGCAAATATTTCCCGAAGAGAGAAAAAGTCTTCATATAGTTCTTTGGACCCCTTGGTTTTGTCTGCAGAGACAAAGCTATGGGGCAGAGATTTCTCTTGGTAGATAGAAGATACTAGTTCTAGTGTCTTCTCCTAACCATAACACACACACACACATACGCATGCACACAGTAATGGAGAAAGTTCACTGGGCTTTAGTTGCTTAATCTGTCAAATGGGAAAATGACTCCCTTCTCACTTCAAAACAGGCAGAGACATTCAACATTTACATCTATTTATATTTGTCACCCACATTCTAGAGCTTATAACCTTTCAGGCTTACAGAACAGTTGAGCAGAAAGTAGAGCTCCTATTGGACTTCCTTTTAAATAATGAAATATGTGGGACTGGGAAATCTAGCGATTTTCTAGGGTCAGCCATCAGGAAAATGTAAAAACCTAAAGCCATGTGATCAGATGTGTAAGTTTGGAAATTCAAGTAATATTCCTGATGACCCCTCAGTGGTTTATTGTGTTGAGGTTGCAAGATGAGAGTGGAAGGCTTTGGAGAAGGGTTTGGAGTTGGGATCTGGAATCATGACCATTTATATGCTGTGCTGTCTTGGACAGTTCTCTACCTGCTCAGTAGCCTTGTCTGTAGATGGGATTCATCATTTCTGTCTTAAACAGGCTGTCCTCAGAAAAAGGTATCATAATTTAAGTAAAGCACTCAGCAGGGGGCTGCTATATAGTAGGTCTCAGTATATGTTGCTTGTTACTCTTTTGCCCTCCCCACTTTTCCACCCCATCCTTGACTAAATATGGTTCCCATGGTAGGCTGCACTTTGCAGAAGGGAGGGAAAGAGGTACACCCAGACCAGCTCCCCAGTATTTATGTGGAAAAAAAAATGCACCACTTCTACATCACCAAGACTGAAGTTTTGCAGTGTATTCAACTTGCTTCCATCTCTATGAAATGATAAATCTCAGTTACATGCCCAAGAGACTGAACAGGTCCACAGTAAAGACCAATGAAAAATTAAAATCAATATAATTCTTCTCTCTAGCTTGTACTTTAAAAGGTTAACAACAAGAGCAGAAGTGGGGAAGGGGTGCCTTTCTTTAAGACAAAGAAATAGATTAGCTTCTCTTTTATTTCTCACAAAAGTACTGTGATCTAGGGATCATTAGTCCCATTTTCACAGATGAGAGAAACTGAGGCTCAGAGTTTAAGTGAATTTTCATAGTGAATGGCCCCAAAAGTCAAGTCCCAATCTTGTTGAGGTGTAAACACTACATTACACTGATTCTCTCTTCTCATGATTATCTTAGGTCTGTTTGGCTAAAAGCAGTATTATTTAAATATTCCAGGGACGGAAATTGTTTCAACTTAATCTCAACACAGATTGACTGGTAGTGATTGCAAGGCTGGGTTGAGAAAGG